TGTTAAACTTATATTAAAGTTTTTTCATTACCCATTCAAACCGTCTCCAACCATTATTAGTCTCAAAGTGGGTTCTTCGTCATCGAAATTGTAGGATTATACCTCCATCACCTGGCTGAAATTAAACAACAAATGCAAAGAAACGTATTTAATTGGTGGACTTTGTTTTTCATCCATGAAATTAATGGAAACTTACGTAATGCGAAAACTTAAAAGCATAATAACTTGTTTAGTTTAACATTTAGGTTAATAAATAAATCCTTGGAATATTTATGGTTGTATTTCCTTATGACAGTTTTGACCACATATGAAAAATTACATGATATAACACCAACCTTAATATTTGATAGATTGTATGTAAATGAAAATATGATATTAAACACATTATCAGTGGTAACAGACACTTTTTTTCTAAATTTATGACATCATTCTAAAGGGCTTTCTGCTTCTGTTGCCTTTTAGGAGCTAGTCAACTTCTGGGATTCACCGGCAGAAGTCTGCCTGCTTTTATTAGTGATTGCACAAGCATAAGGAAAAATATTATCGCTCAATTAGAAAGCTATGTAGGACTGACTACTGAACTTGAAAAAATGGAACCAAACAAGATAGGGATGGAAGTGGACATATTACTTGATCGGCTAATGATCACATAGTAGACGAAGCCATTTCGACTTCACATGAAGAATAAAATCTCTACATTACTGGCTTCCTCACTTTGTCTATCGAAAGTTTGGTATTTGAATAGAATCTCAGCTTTCGTTATTATATATTTTCTTTATTTAACTTTAGAATACTACTTTTATGATTATTTTACATTTGGAAATTATAGTTCTATTTATTTTGCCAGTGAGGAAGCCAGTAATGTGAGGATTTTATTCTCCATGTGAAGTCGAGACAGCTAAGTCTGCTATGTGATCGTTAACCAATAAAGTGATATATCTACTTCCATACTTGTCTTGTTTGGTCCCTGTTTTTAAGTTCAGTAGCCAGTCCTATATAGCTTTTTTATTTAGCGATATTTTTCCGTATATTTGTTTCTTTACTTTTTATAACATGGTGTAGTGGGTTACGAGGTTATAGAGTGTATTCTAAAGCTTTATAAATTTTACATGGAATAGTAATAAAATGGGTAGTCAAGGATCGTGAAGGCTGTTTTGCTCTATCAAATGATGATAAAAATATAGTTACTGCTAAAACTAGATAGGCGCTAGGCCTGTTGAAGAAAGATGACGAAAGATGAACGAAAATAAGAAATCTCTGTTTTGGCAGTTTGCCAGTTGTCGACCTTGGGGACGCTCTGGATAGCTGAAAAGTGGCATATACACCAGAGATAGAGCGACTATGGCAGGTAACTGTTCATATCTATCTTTTGATGACCTGTAGAGAAGAAAATCCAGATGACTTTTGTATTGCTTTAATATGGGCGTCCGTGCCATCCTTACATAGAGAGTGCTAGCGCACTCTCCAATATATTAGTGTATGATAAACAAGATTTGTGAGCTAAGACGTGCACAAGTTTGTTTAACACGAATATGAGGATTGACTTAATTACTAATGTCCCTGCTTATAATTAACTTAAAGATCTCTTGCTTAAAGCCTACCTTAACTAGTTTTGTTTTAATGCCCATCCATATTCATGGATTGTTCAGTAAAAAAGCGTCTCTTCCTTCATGTAATAAAGTTAAAACCTGGCAAAATAAGGTTTTCAAGATAATGGAATAATACACATGCATAATATTTTGTTTATAACAAAAAAACATAGAAATGTCGTCAGAGGGACAGATTTTTCTGGATTTCTGTTTGTTTGTAGTTAAGCTCAAAGCTATCCAATGGGTTCTCTGTGATCTGCCCATCACAGGTATCGAAAACCGATTTCTAGCGTTGTAAGTCCGCTGACATACCGCTGTGCCACTGGGGGCATTTTTCTGGAGCCAAGCCAAGTGCAAATACCATTGTGTCAAGAGTGAGACTTGCCTGAAAGAAATCTTGGTCTTTATACGGAATAATCTCTAGAAAATATCACTTTTTATAAATGGGATCAACAATAATATAAAAAAGGATTTTAGCTTTCGAATAAAGGAAAAATAAGACACCAGTATTTATGTAGTAGTCTTCTTTGTCATTAAATTTCGTTGTAAGTTAATATTTTGAAGTAACCAGTGTCAATATAAGTTTTTTCTTTTCATTTTTGCTACCAGAGGAATTTTTCTAACTATTCAAGACGCAGGAAGAATTTACGACGTCTTAGGTAACTGGCCGGAAAAGGAAGTGAGGGTAGGTTTTCAGCAGTACAGAAAGATAACACAGGCCTGTGAATACTCCATAAAAGTTCTTTTGGTTTTAATAACGGATTTTCCATAATTCAGATACGCAGATTTCGAAAATAACAGTTATTTTTTCTATCACGTAAGGATGTTTTACAAATCTGGAAAAAAAACTCTTCCTTAGATAAAATTATTATTTCCTTTACCACAATGAACATTTTTTATTATTATGTTTCTTAATAAAAATGGAAACAAACTGAAAAAAGGGAAGAACACTGTTGTCAAACGAATATGCATCCTCATTCCTTCTGATTTTTTTGGTGAAATTTCGTCTTTTAGTCTCAAAACTACGTGTTATTGTCTTTCTTTTATATATTGCGTTATGACGTTTTATGTAAAATTTGTACGTGATGGAGAAAAATGGATATCGTTTTCGGATTGAGCGTACAGGAATTATTGTAGAACATGTAAAATGTTCAAGATAATAAAACCATCGCAGGCCTGTGTGATACATAAAAAAATGTAATCAAGCTAAAAAATAAAAAACATGCATGAAAGTTGTGTTATTAAAACTTATAACTCCTCGGAGAGCCCTGGCGGTGTATGCCATGTTTGGTTAAAGTGTAGGCGTGAAAAACAGACATAGAGACGACACTAGTGCATTAAATGATTCGATTGTTGAACAGTACAGATCAATATATTTCCACTTTTCTATTTCCCCATATTATTTATTTAAGTTTCGTTTTATAGCTGGATGATAGGAGGTTACATTGTTTGTTATGGAATTATACATCGCAATATTTATATTCTGTCGTATTTAATGCTTGTGTGCATTATCTGATGTAGATCGTCAGTCGATAAGATTTAAGATCAATAATCCAATTTGTAATTTTTTGGATTTCTTAACTTTTGATTGATACATCCCCATAACAGCCATGGATGATGAATGGATAATGAAGCGTCATTTCTTTGTATGTTAATATCTGGAAAAAGTAGTAACAATAAGTAGCAATTTGGAGAGCATGGGCTGACTGAACGAGCAAATAGTACATAAACTCTAACACAATCAATTATGCATGCACTAAAATCGCCCAAGACAAAAAACACTAGATGCAGAACAGCTGCAAAAGGTAGAAACTTGGAGGAAAAAGTATGTGGGGGAAATAAGCCATATGTAACTAGAGATAACCAGTTTCTTCGATTAAGTTCCAAATTGCAAGAGAAAAAAATTACACAAGCAACTGAAAACAACAGTAAAACATGCTTTACTAAAACATGTACTTCTGGAAGCGCTATCAGACATCAAATATGTATCTTAATAAGTATATTAAAAATAAGTATCATAATTTTTATATATGGATATATTGTGTATGTGTTTATAACTCTTTCTTTGTTTTTGTTTAACAGAGCATTGAAATTTTGAATTTTCGATATAATCAAACTAGCCTAATTGTTACTGATATTTTGCGTAGGCCATAGTTGTGACGGACGGAGAGAGGATTCTGGGATTAGGAGATCTGGGAGCCAATGGTATGGGCATTCCAGTGGGGAAGCTAGCCCTTTACACGGCACTGGCAGGGGTCCCCCCAAATAAAACGCTTCCGGTGACGTTGGATGTGGGAACCAACAATGAGGTAAGATTACATTTAGTTAAACACCATCTCTGCTGTTGAATGTGGGAACCAACAATGAGGTAAGATTACATTTAGTTAAACACCATCTCTGCTGTTGAATGTGGGAACCAACAAGAGGTAAGATTACATTTAGTTAAACACCATCTCTACTGTTGGATGTGGGAACCAACAATGAGGTAAGATTACATTTAGTTAAACACCATCTCTGCTGTTGAATGTGGGAACCAACAATGAGGTAAGATTACATTTAGTTAAACACCATCTCTACTGTTGGATGTGGGAACCAACAATGAGGTAAGATTACATTTAGTTAAACACCATCTCTGCTGTTGAATGTGGGAACCAACAATGAGGTAAGATTACATTTAGTTAAACACCATCTCTACTGTTGGATGTGGGAACCAACAATGAGGTAAGATTACATTTAGTTAAACACCATCTCTGCTGTTGAACGTGAAAACTATTAATGAAACTCACAAGTGAATGTTTTACAGACAAAAATTTCCCGCGACCTTCCTCTTGTTAAAAATATAGCAACGATAAGATTTTGTACTTATTAGTTTTAGCTAGTTAAACACTTCTCGTGACGTTGCATGTAACAAGGAACAAAGTAAACCTTTCGTGAATACACTTTGACTTAAACAGAATCACTAATTTTTCCCGTAAGGTTTTGGCGATCGTATGTCAATCGTTGTCCTGGTAATCTATATGATCACTTAAGTCTTGAGTATAAACTTATTACTATTTTTATAATTGTTGTTATTAGATTGTACTTTCGAACTAGTTTATAACCTGCTGCCATCTTCAGTGAGGTCCTGAAATGGACTGGTTTATTTTTTTATTTGGGGGGGGGGAGTAGTAGACGGAATGGTGTACTAACCATTTATCTGGGGTCTTCCCAGTTTTGGCTTCAATCAACTAACTGTCTGAATGTTTTCAAGAGGGGTTACCAAGATTTTGCTGATTACTGAGCTAAGTTGATGGAATGTGTTATGAGCTAAGTAGATGTCAAATATTTCTTTTTCTCGTGCCATTATATGGTCTTCTCTGGTAAGTTGAGTTATTGCACATAAATCAGTATTAGTCTTTTTACCTATTATGACGTTGGATTTTAATGTTTGTTGATATTTCGTTTCTCAAACTTATTGAAGTCCACATTTACAAGATATGATGTAAATAGTGGTTTGGTGCAATCTAACTGTTATCGTATTGTGTTCTGACTTCATGTTGTTTACATATTCCCTATAGTTTTTCATGAAGCCATAGAAACTTTTGTCATAGGGTAATACGGCTGCACGGTTGTGATAATTTCGCCTTGCTTGTTCTTCTTTAGTTTTTTCTTCTTCTTAACCATATTTTGCATAGCAAATCTTAATCATTCTATAAGCTAGACATAGTTTATGACAACTTACTTTACATTGTTGGAGTTATTCACTACAGATATCTACCAGTAGCTGTGACTTTCCTCTAAACTATTGTAACCATCAATTCCAAGAATGTGAGCTTCTTATTTTTCTACTTCAACTGTGAATTGTATCGCTGGATGTTGTCTACTCGAGCTTTATCAATTATGGAATTTTGTAGCCATGTTACAAATGTTCGATGCTTCCTTGAAACCATTCATATAGTAAACTATTGTAACCATCAATTCCAAGAATGTAGCTTCTTATTTTTCTACTTCAACTGTGAATTGTATCACTGGATGTTGTCTACTCGAGCGTTATCAATTATGGAATTTTGTAGCCATATTACAAATGTTCGATGCTTCCTTGAAACCATTCATATAGTAAATTAACTCAGTTCTAACGCAGGAGATTCCAGATGAATGTATAGCATGAAGACCCCGGATCGAATTCCAGTTACTCCACTTTTGAAAAACCACATAAACTAAACATTTGATCTAAAAGTTATAATTTTCAACAAATGAACTAATAAGAAAATGAAAATTTGCTTCTTATTTATAATATTTCTATTTGCACTCTATTTTTTAATAGTTTTAAATGTTCTTTAGTTAATGTGTGAGTGTGTACATATAGACTTGTTGTGTATCGTTCTAAAGAGTTTTACGTTCATCAGAAACTTCTGAGTGATCCCTATTATATCGGGATGCGTCACAAGAGGATTCGTGGTCGAGAGTATGATGATTTCATCGAAGAGTTCATGGAAGCTGCTATCAAAAGGTAAACAGGAACTATGAATATCACGTAAACAATTTGCTTGATAAACCGCTACATAATAATTGTCTGGTGTAAGGATTTTGTATTTGTTTGAACGACGAATATTACTTATTTTTTGTGAAAGGTTATAAGCAAAACTTAAGCGTGATTAAGGTTATAACTTAATTAAACAAGTCGTTTTGGCCTTAAAGTGTTGCAGCCTGACATTACTATAGTTTAAAGCATTTGTTTCGGAAATCAGAATGACATGTATATGCTAAATTCTCTGTATGTAGGTCTCTGGGTTAGAGTTTGCATAGTCTTTAGTCGTAATATCTTGATCACGGTTATGATTTAGTTTTGTTGAAGGTGTCATCATTGAAAGTTTCTTTTCTGAATTTTATACCACTTAAATTCATCCTTTGTTGTCAGTATTGAGAGTTTATTCTCTGTTAGTCATACTAAGTAGATGTATCCGTTGTTGTTAAGATTGATTTTTCTTCATTGTTTGTCTTAATACAAAAGTTTAAAATTTATTGAACTTTGAAAATTGACCCAGTGTCTATCTTTACCTTTGAAATGCAAACATAAACAAACTTATAGTCTAGCAAAGTGAATATTTTGTTTGCACCTTGTTAGGTTTGGAAGGTCGTGTTTGATTCAGTTTGAAGACTTTGGTAACGAAAACGCCTTCAGGCTCTTGAAGAAATTCCAGGAACGTTACAGTACCTTCAATGACGATATACAAGGTAATTTAGTTAAATCGTGTATTACGCAAATTTTATGGTTGGTTCAGGTGTATAGTATTTTATTTTCTACCCTGTGAGGCCTATTTTATCTATTTTTTTCGCTTTTCCAAGCAGGACTGATGAGCCGTGAAACTAGTTTGTTGCAGTGGAAGTAGCGAATCAATAAATAAATTAGACCTCTATATCATCTTTTCTTCAATGAAATTCACATTTTGATCCAGAAAAGAAATTAACTAATTAACTTCCAAAAATTACTCTTAGACATATTAAAATAGACATTCTTTGTAGAACTTGGACATTGTAAAATAGACATTCTTTGTAGAACTTGGACATTGTAAAATAGACATTCTCTGTAGAACTTGGACATTGTAAAATAGACATTCTCTGTAGAACTTGGACATTGTAAAATAGACATTCTTTGTGAAATACATTTATTAACCAGTCCAGTGCTTCAGGCATAAACATTCAAGACATAAAAAGTGGTTTAATGAAATGATATATAACTCAGTTGTAGAGCACTGTTTTTGTTAACTAGAGGTCCTGCGTACAAATTCCACTTCCTTAGTCTATTTTTCACTTATCGCCTTTTTACTTAAAATTTATTATTTAAGTTGTACATAGTAAAGGTGATGCTCTTAAATAATGCATGTGTAGTTTCTTATGAAGGGTGGGCTTGTTAGTGTATGTTTTCTTCTCTTTTTTTTTTTGTCATCAATTTGGAAATTTATAAAATTGTATAATTCTATAGCATTAACCATTACTGTTATGTAAGATTTTTAAGCCAAGAAGTCGAAAATGTCAAGTAACCGTGTTTGTGTGAAGTATTTTAAATATGTTTAACAATTTCACGAATTATATTAATCGCAGTATGGCTAAAGTTTTATCTTTTTCTCCATATATATGTGTGTTCTGTATGCGACCCCTAGCGTAGCATTTTAATGTGATAGTTTTGATTCTTACAACGTTTAAGTTGTTCACATAAAATGAGAAATTAATAATAATGACAACACATTTCATAAGGATTATTTGAGGGTTACGTTTGTGCTTGGAATACTCAAATATATCATATATGAAATAAGGTCAACTAAAGTACATGATTTAGAAAAGAAAAAAAAAAGTCTAGTCTAGAAATTAGACTATTGAAGATAAATCAGCTTAAAAACTAGTTTTTTTCGTTTCTTGGTGGCGATATTCCGAGCAAACCAAAAACAAACCTGTGGGTTTGGAGGCAAACTATTCTTGTCTATATAGTTTGTCACCACCAAAGAAATCTAAAAATCAAACTAAAGTTTTTTAAGGTGATTTATTTCCAACAGTCTAATATCTTAAATAACATAATGTGCTGTGAACTCGCTCGGTTTTAATTCTTATATGTTATTTTCTTTCTGAGAACTGTTTAAACTTTTTCCTATTAGGGACAGCATCCGTCGCTGTAGCAGGAATTCTCGCAAGTTTGAAGATTACAGATTTAAAATTGTCGCAGAACGTGTTTTTATTCCAAGGGGCAGGAGAAGTAAGTTTGATTTATTATGGATGTTCTAAAACTATAGAGAATTCAGGATGTATCCCAGAGTTCGATATGAGGTCTGCTATATATGCACTCAATTTTCTTTGGTAAATTCGTGAAAATTATTTATGTCTTACTGATAGAAATCTTTGTTTTAATAAATTCGAAGGATTGTAGAATTATGTGAAAACGTACTGTCGGTGGATGCCTAATTTTTTAAAAATATGTAAATTAATTGAATTAATCTCTTCAATCACGTGTTCATAAAGTGATGCCACTTTTAACAATTATAATAGATAAAATGCATCTTGGAGGAAGAGAGACGTAACAGTTAACTTTCCTATATATATATAAAACGTGTGTGTTAAAGATTTATTTGGTGAAAAATAAAAGACGCGCACACACACACATATCATTAAACAGTTGGACCGATGTATAATATCCAATAGTGAATTCGACGAAATTTCACAACATTATTCACATACGTAAATTAGTTTAGGTGACTATGTGGTGAAGAAAAACGGACTCAAATCTCCATAGTTAACTTTTCTGTTCACAGGCGGCACTGGGAACTGCCGATCTGCTGGTAATGGCGATGGAACAAGAAGGTGTTAGTCGTGTAGAAGCCACACGCCGGATATGGATGGTTGATTCTAAAGGTCTAATTGTAAAGGTGATTATTATGTTTGTAGAAGTTACTGCTTTAATTTGTTTATGAAAGGCCTTTTTATGTATGTCAAAAACATACAAAAAATACACACATCAACAATTTAAAAATGTCACATACATTGGTATTTTATTTTAATTACGGTATTTGATTACTTAAAAGCGATTGCATGAATTAGTTTTATTATTATAGATATTTGTATATTTGTTAGACAACACAAGTCATAGCCAATAGTACGTAAATCCAGCTTGTTTTTAAGCATTTGGAATAAATGACTTATAAATTGCCAATTATTTTAGGTACAAAAAGCAGTGTTTAGAATGTAAAACGAAATGCTTCTTTTTTTTACTGATAAACTTTTATTTGAATTTCAGAATCGAGAAACAGGTGGCATAACGGAGCACAAAGCTCGTTTTACTCAGGAGCACGAGCATCTGACCAACTTGGAAGATATTGTGAAAACCATAAAACCGACTGTTTTAATAGGTAAGGTTAATGATTGATTCATAATAGTAATTCTTTAAATACTTATAGTTTAAATATAGCTATTCAAAGCCAAAGTTTGCAAAGAAAATAGATAAATAACCATTCGGTGAAAGAGAGACAATGTAGCTAGAGATATTTCTGCCTTTCACGTTATTTTAAATTTGTTTCCAAATATTACATTCCACGCTACTTTCCATTATTTAGTAAACGTCTGTATTTACATAAGTATGTTTGTGGATATGTAACCAGCACCCTCTTTCGTTTTCCGTCTATTCTCCGTCTTTTTTTTTTTAGATTCAATGTATCTATTATAAATTTATATTTTATCGTATCTGTTAATTCAGTTTGTTTATAACTCTACCTGTCTGTTATTTAAGAAAATGTTTTATCTTGTACTCCATTAATTTCTCCTGGAAATATATAGAAATTGTTAATATCTCCATAAGAAACAAAAATAGGCGAAACGACTTTTATCACATCTTCACTATACGTTGCTCTTTTTTCATACGGTACCATAATGTAGCTTCACGTATTTATATCTTATATTAACATTATTTCATGTCTGTGTTTCATCATCTATATTGATAATTTCCTATTGTTTCTCTGTTACCACAGTATCTTCGTTTTAAATCTAACCCGCAGCTTTTTTTCTGTTTCTCTGCTATCAACACATTGTATATTTAGTGTATAAATGCTTTCCAGCCTGTTTATTTTTTCCTTTGTTATTACGCATTTCCCCCTGTTTGCTTAATATTTTCGTCTGCCTGTAACGTACATTCATATTAATTTTCAAGATGTATTAGGCCAAGCATTGTCTAGTGTTTCATGCTGGGTTGCGTATCGGAAAACTCGAGGTATATCACTGAAGACGCTGTCGCACTTTCAGCTCTTGGTGCGTTATAATAGTGATAGTCATTTCCGTTTCAGGCAAAGCCCTTTTAACTGCTGGTGCTGGAGACTTTCTTCTCATCTGGTGTTTAAAAGTTGATTTAGGAAGGCTATATCTGAACCTTAGTTGTCTCCGTCCTAGTCGTTTAGCCCATGTTTGCATGAGAGTCCGTTCAAGTTAAAAATACCAATAGTATATACTTTAAAATACTTACCAAGTTTTTTAACTGTATTCCTCGTTGTTTTATGTTTTCCAAACTTCGATGTCAAAGGAAAGTTACAAATACTGATCCAACGTTAAATCCCTCCCGTAATTAACCCTTGTTCGTCATTTCAGGTGCATCTGCCCAAAAAGGTGTGTTTTCTGAAAGCATTCTTCGTACCATGGCAGAGAACAATGAGCGACCTGTAATATTTGCTCTCAGTAATCCCACTGACAAGGCCGAGTGTACGGCAGAACAAGCTTATACGTTCACTGAGGTAACTGAGTTTTCAAGTAATATTTTTTACTTCATGATTTTGCTCAGTATGAATCTAATAGTTACCATCTGTCTACAAAACACTTGATTACGTAATTCTTAAGAAATCACAGCATCATTTAGAAAAATAGATGTTACTAGTATTGATAACCTGTTTGATCATGAATCTTATATGCTGTACTCAATTTACTCACTAGATGGAGCCAGCTTTTATATCCTGTATTTCAATTCAAGCTTAAGCTTAATTATATATTTTTTACCTTTTAGTTTTAAAATGTTTATTGTTTTAGAATATTTGGTACATTATCTTTTAGGGTAGGTGTGTGTTTGCCAGTGGAAGTCCGTTTGACCCAGTCACAATTGAAGATCAAACGTTCTACCCCGGACAAGGCAATAATGCGTATATCTTTCCCGGGGTGGCGCTAGCAGTCATTGAGTGTGGTGTTCACACAATCGCAGACCAAGTATTTTTGGTAGCTGCAAAGGTGAGTTAGTCAGATACCATTTTGTTTTCTTGAATTATTACTGGACACAATAGGATTTCGGTTTTTATTGCCTTTAAGTTACTATTCGAGTTCTCTGTAATGTTAATTACTTCTGTGCTTTTAATTGGCCCGTTGAAATATTACATAGTTGTGTTCTAATGACACCATTTGTTTTTCGGAGTGTTGAGGGATTCGTCGAAATCCAGTTTATATGATTGTATAGCTCAATTTTTATGTCTTAAACATCGTTTGTGTGCTCACTCAGAGTGAAGCACTCGGTGCTCTTGTAATTATCTTATCTGGCAGGAGGAAACATGGTGACAAGTGGAAGAGAGAGACTATCACCAGAAACTGTGATAGTTACTATTCCTTCATGGGATACTTGCTTCACTTCGAACTTAAGCATACCAAGAAGTTAGATTACCTGTGTTTAGTGTTACTGGCCCGTTCTTAGTTATATTCAGTTATTAGAAGTTTCTTATTTATATAATCCGGATACTTGTTTCACTGTTTTTTCTACTCTTCTTTAAAATAAATGATCTAATTAGAATCATGGCAATCAAAAGTTGGATTATTTACAAATATTAAATCGAACTGCAAAAGTGATAATTGCTCAGCATTAGTTTTTGGTCTAATTGCTATGACTTATAAATTTTTCTTTGTAGTATAATATTTATCAGTTTATTTTTAAATTTTAATTGTATTTTCATATATAGCTTTTATTAGGTAATATAATTTTTTTTTTCATTCATTGTCGTTGTAAATCATTTAGGCTCTAGCAAATCAGGTAAAACAGGAGGACCTTGAGGAAGGCCGTCTCTATCCACCTTTAAAGAATATCCGTGATGTTTCTGTTCAAATTGCTGCTAAGGTAGCGCAGTTTCTCTACGTAGAAGGGATGGCTACACGTAGGCCTGAACCTGACGACAAAGTTGCCTTTTTACGAAGTAAACAGTACACTGCCGATTACGAAATGGCCACGTCCCACAGGCACCCTGTCACCAGCAAGGGCTTGCATCACTAGACAACCATTTTTCGTTACCTTAGTTACTAAAAGTATGGCAGGGATTACTTTTGATGAAATCAATTGGATGGGTGTTTTTATGTACCAGAACAATAGATTGGGAGGTATTATTTATTAGGCATAATATAAGAAAATTAGATTTAACGGGCTAAGATTTTGATTGACTAGTTTGCAATTAACTTACACAAGGGGGAAGTGATATAACTGGTACTAGTTAGTAAGTCGAGAAAGTACACAGATAAAATTTTATTTAAGCTTGTTAGTAGCAGGTTAGGACAATTATGATGTTAACATAGATTTGATCATGAATCACTATTATCTAGATATTATAAGCTATGATATCTATGTAACAATGAGCTAGCGGTTAAAAAACTGTATGTGTTTATGGCAGTGTTTAACGTATTGTTCAAGAGTTTGTCCGTAATACACTAATATTATATATTCTTTGCTGTGAGTCACATATCTTAATTATCATTGATGTATTATGGTGATATATATGCGTTATTGTTAAATTTTCTGCTGTTTTATTTTGAAATTTTAAATATGTTTGTGTCAAGAAATTTCGTCTGTTATATTTCAACACCGTCTGATTGCTATACAATGTGTTATATCGTCGTAGCATGCAAGGAATTTTATTTACATTTTTTTTCATGTATATCAAATGGATTAAAATAAAAATCATGCCAGTCTCAAGCTGTTTCCTCCCTCTGTTTCTATGGAAACCGTGTTGTTTAACCGGGCAATTGAATGTTATAGGATAGATATGAAGTTAAGAAACACGTTTTAACAAATTTCATAGGCAGGCAAGCATGTTAAAAATTTCGCATAAAATGCCAATAAATCGTGGATACACAGAACAGGTTTTACGTTTTAATTAGCTGACAAGCAAAGTTTGAATGATTCATTGAGCAGCAACAAAGGGATTAGTTTCAATAAAAAATTCTATTCAGAGATTCTTAAATATTTCAAGATATATGAATACTAGAATTACGTCTACTGTTTACTGTTTTGTTAGATATATTTGCAAAAATGACATCACTTGTTATTGGTGTATAATACCAAACGAAACCAATAACAATAATATTTTTATAAAGACTTCCACCATTATTCAAAATTAACGTGGGAAAGAACGTCTTTGGTGGTTTTCTTCAGCAGCATCAAACAATACATAAACAACCGTGGAGAGATTAGAGGCTTAAGGTGAATGGAAACGATTTATGTGAGTAACGTGAAGAAACGTGAGCTATTAAGTTACGGTGTTATATTCAGCTGTCAGGCAATAAAACATAATCTGTTGGTCCTAAAGCTATTACGTAACAGCAGTTTAATTAATTGTGAAGCAGTTTTCTATTTAACAATGAGCCAGCAGATAAAAGATCTATTTAACTTTAAGACAACAAATAATGTTTTATTTAATATTTTATTTTGAGTTTACTTTCTGATTAATTTTATTATATTACAAGTTACAGCTTTTACAGTAAGTAGGCCCAGCATGGCCAGGTGGTTAAGGTGCTCGACTCGCAATCTGTGGGGTCGCGGGTTCGAATCCCCGTCACACCAAACATGCTTGCCCTTTCAGCCTTGGGGGCATTATAATATGACAGTCAATCCCACTATTCGTTGGTAAAAGAGTAGCCCAAAAGTTGGCGGTGGGTGGTAATGACTAGCTGCCTTCCCTCTAGTCTTACACTGCTAAATTAGGAACGGCTAGCGCAGATAGCCGTCGTGTAGCTTTGCGCGAAAATCCATAACAAACAAACAGTAAGTAAGTAAGATTTGTTTTAGAGCCAGTAATCGAAACGTCGTACCTGTTCTAAAAACAAATCTTACTTACTATAAAAGCTGTAACTTGTAATATAATGTTTTGGCAATAAATGCCAATGATTAATATAACATTGAGATAACAAGTAACAGTAGTTTTGGTGTTTACAAAGAAAAAAACTTGACTAGTTATACTCTACAAAAAAAAAAAACCTTCTCAGGGGTTAAATGGTTTCAGTTCTTTAGTCTGTATTGCAAAGTTTAAGAACTGATTTTTTTTGCTATATTAGTCGTTTGGAAAATTAACTGGTGTACTTAGTAGACACGTTTTCTATATTAAAAGCACATACACCTTCTGTCTCCAGAATTCACTGGAAGTTATAACAAATTTTGCCTCATATTTCAGCACTGATGTCTGAAACAAGAAACTCCAAAACAAAACACTAAGAAACCTATTTTTTTTATCTAGTCCGGCACGGTCTATAATTAACAATCCGGACTAAAATAATTGCGCTTCACACTTTGGGGTCCTGGGTATCCCACTATTCGATTAGAGTAGTCCACGAGTTGGAGATTAGTAATATTTACTAGCTGCCTTGGCCCGGCATGGCCAGGTGGTTAGGGCGCTCGACTCGCAATCTGAGGGTCGCGGGTTCGAATCCCCGTCGCACCAAACATGCTCGCCCTTTCAGCCGTGGGGACGTTATAATGTGACGGTCAATCCCACTATTCG